AGCACCTACCATGAAAAAAAAAGCTTGTGAATACTTTTTCATAGAGAGAAAAAAAAAACACCCACAATTCAAGAAAACCCACGACACGCTTATATCTCTGACAACTTGCCATGGTCGTCATCACTGTGGCACATGACACTGTGACGGTCATACAGCAAGCACATAAAGGCACTTCTATGATCCAGTGCCTATACCCGTAATTTACCTCAAATTTATTTATCTAAAATTAAAAGGAGCACACAAAAGCAAAATGAGAGACACACTGCCACAATGTCATTTAATCCAAAATGAACCCTGACCTCCCGAGCCCAAATTAACCCGTCCCCTGGCTTCCTGATAAAAAAATGCCTACTTGGCTGCACACTCCCTGAACTACGAGTCTCTTCTTAATATTCAAACCAATTCCTTCTTCCTTGAGCTGCCTTGATCTGTACAATACAGGGCGATCCCCCCCAAAAAAACAATTTTTTTTCTAAATATCTCGCACAAAATGTGTACTAGATTCTAGATCTAGCATGTTGTAATTTGGAACAGATATAATTCATTCAAAAGGAATTTGTTTGACATAAAATTCACAAAGAAAAAAATTGTTTTCGAAAACGTAAATGGATTTTTATTAAAACAACCTATAAAAATACAAAATACACTAATTTAAAAGATATTGTAAAGTCATGAAATGATTGGTTTGTTTTTTCCTTTCCTTTTATATTTTAAAATCTAATCTTTCCATCCCTGTAACCTTTAATATTTCCTTTTTCTCCTACAGAGTTTTAAAAAATATTTTTAAATTCTGCAATTCTGAGAACAAATTTTAATCATATATATCATATGTCCCCCTTTGGACTCGACACATTTAAACGCGTCAATCGTAATGTTCAGTGGTGGCCAAACACAAAGATCTCCTCAACCATGATTACTCAAAGCCACACACACTGTAAACCTTACAGTACGGAGCTGTTTCTAGAGACAAATGGAGGTTGCCCAAATAGACAGCATTTGTGGAGTTGATGTAACCTGAAAGAGATAAGTAAAAATGGGCTTTGCCAAGGAACCAAATGTCATTGAGTAATGTTCATGCTTTTCAAGACGATCAACGTATCATGAACACATTGTTATCCTCTGATACTGATAGCTTCGAGAACGGGAAAATGGTACTGTCGTAGGTGAAGATCTGCCATGACAATGCGGACCGTCGAGATGTAGGAAAGCCATTGCTGCAGACATCGTCTACGAACAGACGCCCCATGGGGCTCATCTACTGAATTCTGCACCCCGGTGACCTTTGGATTTCGAATGAAGTGTGCTTGACCAGAAGTGGTCGGTTTGTCTGGGAATTTTTAGTTCTAACTCTCTACAGGTCCTAACTGACGGACCATTTCCACCCTTGACATCAAATAAGGCCTTAAGGGTACTTAAACATTATTTCCGTACCATGTGCGAAACTTACGAAATGAATTGGTGGTGAGGAAACGTTCAATAAAAAAAGCTCTCTGCTCTTCACTAAATCCTGCAAACTTCTGTTGGCCTGTTAGACGACTGTAGTTTGCAAAATGGCGAAATCCTTGGTACTTTTAGTGGTAGGCCTAATGCGAACTAGTGCGTCATGCTACAAAAATGGAGACAGCTGAAAATGCGTTGCTTTTTACACGCTATGCAGAGCAGAACTATTCTGTGGATTTATCTAAAATGAATATCGGACAAATTCCATTTCAACTTCCAATTAATGTTGAGTACAAATTTGAAGCGCAAAATTTCAGTGTGGAGGAAAATATTAACCCCCTAAAAATGTGGGTTTTTTAAAAATCTCATCCTGTAGTCAGAGGTGTCGCGTGGGTTGCAGACAAGGTGGTGCATAATTGGAAAGTGAACAAATGGGCAATAGGCTTACTAGATCTAGCTACTATTAAAATTGTAATGAGCGGTAGGTGGGCGCTCTGGTGTGGTCTGTTCTTTCTATTGCTTTCTGCGAGTCTCTCTGTGCGTGTTTGTGTGTGTGTGTGTTGTGTGTGTGTGTGTGAGTGTGTGTGTGTGTGTGTGTGAGAGAGAGACAGAGAGAGAGAGAGAGACAGAGAGAGAGAGAGAGAGAGAGAGAGAGGGGGGGGGGAGGGGGGAGGTAGAGAGAGAGAGAAAGGCAAAGAGACAGTGAGTGTGATTGATGACCAATCCTTGTCAGTGTCTGACCGATCAGTAAAAAGCAGATAATGGAAACAGTACAATTTCTTTTTGGACAAGCTCAGCGTAAGCCATTCATACTTTTCATACCACGTACAGGAAATAGAGCGAACATTATTCTTGAGCTCAAAATCTGGCGGCTAATGAGGACCAAGCTCTTTTATGCGCACTTTCTCTTCTAAATGTAGCCTGCTGAATGGCACAAGAAGCAAAGCGTTAACGTGATTCATCTAGATTTCTAGAGAAAGTCAGAATCAGCAAGATATCCCGTAATCTACATCTTTCGATATTCACAACTGTTTCTAGATGAAGCCGCATAAAAGCTGCAATAAAGTGACACAATACTAACAACTCACTATGCTCATAATCTGAGAAGATTTAAAGATTTCTAATTACTTTACATGTACTTCACTTCGTGCAGCACCAAAAACCAGACTCAATTTGAAAATTTACCTTAACAGGACTTGCTACACAATTATAGAGGGAGACAACAGTTTCGATACCCATTCTTCATTGAGTTACTGTAGACTCTAGTGTACATGTAGTAGATGCTAGCCTAGCGTAAACTTGGGATCAAATTTTTAGCTTGTACCAAATTGATGCTGTAAAGAGGAGTTTCATGCACCTTTCTTCTTGTGCGGGAAGAACGATGCCTAGATTTCTCTACAGTGACAAACATAACTTTGGTGCAAAGATTTTGCTTGCTCCCAGCAGACACGACCGCAAGCGGTGCGACGAGCATAAACCTTCCTCGCTGTCTGTCTCTTCACTGGCGCGCGCGCAGCCAACGGGTGACAGATCGCAAGGATGTAGGCTTATACTAGTAGCCTACTAGTATGTAGATCTAGAGCACTGACTGGTTTAGAATAATTAGAAAAGGGAGGGGGGGTGTGAAGGCCAGGGTTAGGTGCGCCCCGCCACTGCCTGTAGTTACCACAAAACATACAAGTCCCTTTCTATCCATGTACAGACTACTGTTCTACGATAGACTCGCACACACCGGCATATCAGTGCTTCGGGGCAGGGGCAAATAACTCGCACCCTGAAATATCAGAGTCACGGGTTCATTGAGGTAATGCTAAAAAAAAAATAGACAGAAAGACAGAAAAGACAAGAGGGACAGTAAAGTACAAATAGGACTTGCGACATACAAACTCCATCCATCCAGTAACAAAAAATGACGCCACCAAAACACGGAAATGAAACAAGACGCAACCTTTGCGAGAGGATTTATTGTATATTTTTTCATTGACCCCACATAAGAACATCAACCAACCAACATTGCTAGTTTATTATTATTATAATGGTATTCAACAAGATTAATTCAGTGTGAAGAAGCACCTTCCCACAGTACAGCGGAAGATGATGCCCACAGCTGTGCAGCAGCCATTTTAAAAGACTGCACTCAAAGAAAAACTCCAATGTTCATACAGAATATGGGGGTCTATCATCTATGTGAGCTGATGCAAAAGAGAACAATAGTAACAAAAACACCCCAGAGCAAACATAAAATCAAACAACCGAATTCAAGTTAATAAAATGTATGTTCATGTGTGGAAGAAGTAAAAGGTTAAACCAAAAAATAAAGGAGAGAGGGAGAGAGAGAGAGAGAGAGAGAGAGAGAGAGAGAGAGAGAGAGAGAGAGAGAGAGAGAGAGAGAGAGAGAGACAGAGAGAGAGACAGAAAGAGAGAGAGAAAAAGAGAGAGAGCATAGAGAAAGACAAAGCAGACAGACAGAAAAGAGAAAAGACAAAAAGCTGAAGGAACGAAAACTAAAAAAACCTCAAAACAATCACCTTACTCAACTGTAGCACAAACATGTAAAAACTGAAGCATAGAACCCGATTTAAAAAAGGGGGGCAAATGAGAAGTAGCAAAACACTTGCCTCGTGAAAAAAAAAAATTTCCAATTAACGTGGTCAGATTTCACCATAGGAAACAAGAGTTTCCAAAGCCACACAGAATCACAAATCAAAAACTTGAAGACATCTATACGATATGAGAATTTTTTTTTAAAAAGGGTAATAAATCCAACATTGATACCCATAAAAACGAGGCCAGCAGAAATACATACAAATGACAGCATGATCAGTATTTCATGACAAAAGACAATAGATGAGCACGAGGGTCAATGCACCAAGAAGTACTTGCACCAGATTCTTTTCATTTGGAACTGTCCCTTTTCTGTGCCGAGATACCGTAGTCGTCCTAAAGTGCAGGCTACTTTTACACATTTTCATACTTTTTACACTACAAAACAGTTTTGGAAGGATCTGGCTTACACACACATTTCAAAGCAATGCCTAGCATCATTTGCTAAAAAGCTATCACACCATTGTCCAAATTTCAAACTTGTTAGACTTTTTAAAGCAAGGAGAGGGCGATGGATTAAACGTGTTAAAAAAAAAAGGGAGCTTGGCAGGGGGGGTTTACTTACTCAGCTCTGGCCAGGAGTATCACAATCATAACATCAAGATTCCGGATCCATTGCACACAACGGGACAACTGAATGAGCAAACACATGAAACTAAAATATGTACACCACAGAGTGTGTAAGAGTATATACAAGCTAATTGTTTGGACCTTGAAAGCTTACACTAGACACTTCAGCATTTTACTTCATCATAGATCCAAAGCACATACTGTAAGGTGCATATAAAGAAAACGAATGTTTGGAAAAAAAAAGAAAACTTTAATCACAATCTTTTTTGACAATCACACGTTTAAAATAAGGTGCGGTCATGAATTTATGCATGCTGAAAACAATGTTTTCCTTGAGAGAGAGAGAGAGAGAGAGAGAGAGAGAGAGAGAGAGAGAGAGAGAGAGAGAGAGAGAGAGAGAGAGAGAGAGAGAGAGAGAGAGAGAGAGAGAGAGAGAGATTTACCTGTCAAGTCAGTGGGTGCAAACTCAAACCTTTCCCAAAGCCGTCAGCTTTCCGCTCATCTTGCAAAAACCTGTGAGTAATAAGCGGCTCACCATGAAAACTCAGGTGTACCTTCACACATCTGACACCTCATACATCACATCAGGCTAACTTCTTAGATAACTTAAAGTGAGCAGATATAAGCAGATTATCTCAAATGAAGTGCCTATTACCAGCACAAATTAATAATGTTATATCCCCACTATCTCCCATATGTCACCTAAATCATTATTTTTATTTAGCAGAGGGTTTTACGGCGCTCGCAACTGCACAAGGCCAACTTAAATCAGTTTGAACTCATCAATTGAAGTTTTGAAAAAAAAAGAGACAAAGAAAGAAAATTATCTAACTAACACAGGAACTCCGAAGATGAGACAGTTCAAGAGAAATTTGTTGGAATGATTCAGTACATGTTTTCCAGATATTAGGCCAGAATCATTTTTTTAGCCCCCCCCCCCCAAAAAAAAACCAAAACAACAACCCTGCAGTAACAAAAGAAAATATAAAGCTGAATAAAATGCTTAACCACAAGCTGACATGGTTGTGAAACTAAAACGAGAAATTGGGCTACGGAGAAAAAGATATGATGACAGTCAACAAAAGTATGACCTGTAACAGTAATGAATGACATCCGTCACATAAATCTAGTGGAGCATCAAAACCAAGTAACACTGCCTCGTATGAGTTACGACCACCTGTCATTGTCTTCACTCTTATCAGCAACAAAATCAAATTAACTGAAAACAAAACAAAAATCAATACCACTCTCAATGAGCAAGATCAGAGCACAAAGAGAGGCTGTAGGACAATTAACTTAACCGTTCACAAAACAGGATTATATATTACAAGCACAAATACACGCAGAGACAGAAGACATGCCACTTCTCACAACTCCTTTCACAGTACCGCAAGCAAGATGCTGAAGAAACAAGCAAAGTTGCTTGGATGGGAGAACAAAACTCTGCCATTTCAACAGAGCAAGGCACACAACTAGCAAATGAAATGGCACCCCAACACAAAATCTGTCTTTCAGTTTTCTCTCCACATACATCATCAATACTCTTCATATACAGACGTGACACATAATCATGAACGCAGATAAAAATGTCTTCATAATGAGTTGTCTGCCATCAACAGCATATATTATTTATGTACAATAAATGTCATTTCCCAATGATCTGTGGCAGAGAATCACAATGGGCTTCATCATGCGTCATGAGCAGTCATCAAGGCCAGATTCCCTCCTAACATCACTCCGTGAGCTGTCCATGAAAACAAACACACATCTCATATTTCTGGCACGAGGTGATGACAGACATCATAGCAAATCATAACCTTCCCTGGTTCACACCCAAAGACAAACTCATAATTTGCCATATAATGCAGCATCAGTCATTCAAATGCAAGAAAATGTTCTGACCATCAAGGACAAGTAAATTTCCCCACAATATAAATATATTATTATTCATTTAGAACGTGTGCATGCACTCAAAAGAAAACATTGAAAATTTGCTCATGTACGAGTTGAAACTAATCTTTTTCAAAAGGTAATTATGTTCCCCACAGAAGATGATGTATACTAAGTTAACATCTACTCCACAATATAATCAATGACTTGATTATAAAAAGAATAAAAACTGTGCGTCCAACCATTAGCTTCATGTCCAATAATTAGGACAGTAATGAGAACCTAACTAAAACAATAAAATATCAGCTGCAGCATAGTTTGCAAAAATTGATGAAGTCATAGCCTTTCGCAGCAGACTTATTAGTTACCTTGGCACACACGAAAAAAAATAGCTTTTAATTGTAAGGACTTGTTCTTTCTTTTCATAGAGAAAACCCCCCCACAAACAATTGGTATAGAACTAATGGGTAAAGTCAAATCACTAGTCCAGAAACATAAGAGAGACTGGCCTATACAGTGGACATATTAAGCCAGATAAAAGGCTGCAATAAACCTTAGAAGTGAAATTTCAGAACAAAAACCCAAAAGTAGTGTACTTCATTTCATAGCTTTAAATACCCATGAGTTGCATTCGTTACTTCAAAGAAAAGCAAAAAATGTAGATATCTATAATTTTTGCTGATGTAAGAAAAGAATCATTTTTTAAAAGCATTGTAAGTCATTCAGGACAGGTATGTCCACATCTTCTCAGAGATGTCATGAAGAACAAGAAAAAGGAACTCATATTTGCAGACTCCTGTATCCATCTGCAGCATAAGAAAGTAAGGGAAGGGAAAAAGCACACAATTACTATCAGCCTAAAGCTCAAAATAAAAAAAACAACAACCAAAAAACCCCCAAAACAACTAATCTATTATGAAACTTTAAGCAGCCAATCCATAAAAGTGATACTTCATACTCACAACTTACAATCAAAACAGATTTAGCCATGATCAATCAAGTAAAGATTGCCAATATCATACTTCATGAAATATTAATAAGACAAGTCAAAGTTTATAGTAATAACCAAAAAAGTATATTTAAATTCAGATACAAAATAGATCACCCTCTTGCAAGAACCCCTTTTTAAAAAAGTGAAAGTAGCTTGCACAAGGAAACAGGCCCTTACTATAAGGACTGGAACATGTGTCACATCAGTATCCCAAAAACTGACAGAGAGAGAACTTTTTTTCAGACAAACATCTTTAAAAAATTATGTCAAAGTGCAAATCTTGCTTGACACACGGAATCTAGATATAGGACCAGTGACGTACGGCGACATTTTCTCAAATTCTCTTCCTCACCATGCACAATATAGGTGAGGTGAGAAAGACCTGGTGAGCACTACTTGAACTTTGCTATTTTTCTTCTTTTGGCAAACACAGCAAACCAACGAACTGACATTTAGTCTAAAAAGCACAAATTAGCTATGCCAGACTAACATCTGACAGTTTCTAACCTTTAATTTGAGGACAAGTCAGCAAAACTGAACTGTGGTTTCACCTTTAAATGCTTGAAGGAGAGAGATTTATAAATAGAGTCACTTGAGCTTAGGAGATTTACTTGGTACATTGGTATAGCAAACAAAAATTTCCGGAAAAGAATGGATCTTCATGCATAGGATACACGATTATTTGTGATTCTTTTTAAATTATGAGTAACCTCGAATAAGCGTTTTCGTATGAATGAAGAGAAACAACCTTTGGGTTATAAAATGCTGGCCATCAGCAATGTACCAAAAGGGTCAATGGTACAAAACTCACTGAAAGGGAAAATTTGTGGTCACTTAGGAAGGTCATGAGAGCAAAAAACGTCCTATTTTACCCCCTTCATTCTTTGACATTATTTTTTCCATTCAATCTCATTTACTCTACATGCACTCACACTGCACAGGTTCTAACATTCAAGGGAACTTCAACACGATAACACAGATGGACAGTGTAATCTACAATTTACATCAGCACACTCACTTACTGAACTCACATCTCTATTTGATAGTGTTTCTGCGATTCAAGCACTTAACAACTCACAATGTCAACTGGTCCCTGGGTTTAAGTTATAAGGCAGCCCCACTAAACTACTGATAAAAAGTTCCTGTCAAATGATCTGTCCTAGACAAGTGAAGAGCAACTGTAATTCCTCATGCAAAGCATCTCCATGACAAAAGTCAAAGGCTGTAAAAATTAGCAGATATCACTTGCTCATGAAACTGATGACAGCCCACATCAGCTCATTTGTTCCTTCTTTCATGCTCTCTGTGTCAAAGTCCAGATCCAACAACTCTCGCACACGTTTCATGGCCACTTCATAGTCATCATCTGACAATGGAGCGAATGCATTCTCAAGAACATCAGAGGAATGAGCCAGATAGAGCAGAGACAGCATGCGCCTGTCCATGCGATGTGCATCATTGGTCCAGCGGGTTAGCACAGAGTCCTGTACCCGCTTGATAAGTCGCTGCTTCACTACATTGTCGGTCAGAGGGTGGGTGGTCATATCGAACAGAAGAAAGTTTTGTTTCTCTGTGGTGCAAACACCCTTCTCAACCAGGTTCTTAGCCAGGCGTTCTCGCACATTGCGTAGCTGGTACCGAAGTTTGAGGGGGTTCCACGTCTCACCTAAGACAAAAAAGGGAGAAGAAAACACTTTAGGCAAAAAGAAAAAAAAAGAAAAAGAGGAACCAAAGAATAAGCTTGAAAGGGATCATTGAGAAAATAGTAATTGTAACAATTGATGCAATAGGCAATATCCGTGTACCAAGATCAGAACTAATTTAACATGCAAAGCAGCAAAATGTTCGCGTTAAAACATTCTTACACCTACAGACAAAAATTTTTCTCAAAAGTAATCTCAGAATCAGAAGAAGGCAGGACTATAAAAGACAGGAGAAACTAACCTCAAGGAGAGAAAGCGACCATTCTTATAGCTTAACTCACTTCACCCTGGCCAGTATGGGATCGCTGTGGTCACTCCACACTGGCAATTTTTCCCCTTTTCAAAACCTTTAAAAGAAAGTTAATTATAGTAAACTACTAGCTCAACCCCCAGTGACAACGTGCCAGGTCAGGATGAACAACATACTAGACTTCGGGAGCAGTTCATCTCAGTAAATGCATAATATTAACTCGGTTCTGGGCTATTTTAGAAAAGTCTGAGCTTTTTAGAGGCTTTCAAAATTTTACAAAAACTCCACCCTCTCACACTACACACCAAATTTACACCACAAAAACATCCAATACAGTACAATAACATGCAAAATAAAGGACAAAGAAATCTTTTGTGGCGTTTGTATTACAATCTTTCAAAAATGGGCACAATTTTACCATGTGCAGAATTTTTCTTAAGAGGTACTTGTCCAAACTGAGGAGGAGTAAATTTACAGAAAAAGGCTTCACTTTGAGAGTAATTGAAAACAAAATCAAATAAGTACATCCTTCTTGTTTTCTACAGCAAAAAATGTTTTATTTCAGAGTGAAAACAAAAAAAATTGTCATTATTATCGTAAAAAATCTCAAAACCAACAGATTTGTTTCGACATCATAATGAACGCCGACTCCATTACAGCAGTGAGAGAAGAAAAACACTGCGGATCGGTCGATCATCTGCTACACAAAAACTGCTACTCGGATAGAAGATCCGAAATGAAATTTTTATCAGAAGAGAGTAAATGATACCTGATGTGTGTTTCCCGCAACTTACACGATGAATTAGAAGAGCTGTCATGTTTAAAATACTGATGACGCAAGGGGTGCGGGAAAAGACTCAAGTGAGTCAATATGTGTCACCATGTGTTGGAATCTGGCCCTCATCAATTTTGGGGCATGTGGAATTATTGGTATCAACTTAAAGCTTGTTCATTTGTCATGTTATCTGAGAAAAATCGACATTTTTCAGTGAAACCCATCCAGAATGAGAAATGTGTTCTTAATTGGACAAAGGTGGTGTTAAGCCCCCCCCCCCCCCCCCCCTAAAATTCCATAAAAATTGCCAAACTGGCAGAAAAATGACAATTTCTTCAATTTCATTATTTTGACCAGCGACTCACATGCAGTTTTTTATTTTCGTGTATTCATTTTTTAAATTACTGGGCTTTCAAGGAATTATGTCATTAAAACGTGTTGTCAAAGAGGTAACATCTGGCTCATATAATGGTACACCTTCCCTCTTGACAATACTTTTTTTCCTCTTCTTCTTTTTCTATGACATTCAAATGGTGAATCAGGTGAAGCCCAAATAGTGTTGTTCTGACAGAAAAAATTTTTCATGAGCGAATTAACGAGCCTGTGAGCCAGCAATGCTAATCTTGGCTGGCTTGTTAATGACGCAACAATACATAACCTGTAAGCTCATTTCTTGATTTGGTAATTCAGTATGCCATATCTACGCCCATCGAGTGTTTACTCCAATACGACAATGCATCCAGCCCACTCCTTGTCTACGAATTGCAATCCCATGAGCTTCGGCCTGAAGTGGATGGAATCATTTAACCCACTGCTTGTAGAGCAGTCAGCTCATTTTTCGAGCACACCCTTTGCACTCCAGGATAATGAATCAGTCTCAAGTGCTCGCTACACCACTAATGTAAAGCGGGTTCTGTTTGTTGAAACTTGGCTGGGAGTAGTTCCATCTCCTTCTCATAGCAGACTTCGTGAGGGTTTTTGACTTGACAGGTTCATGCCATACACAATCCGAGTCATTTTGGTTCCTACCTTCGCTAATACATCTTCAATGTCATTTCCTCACATAATATAACAGTGACCTGGTATCATGAGAACTGAGATCACAATCTCAGCTATGTAGTTAAATCGTTGGGATCTTGTAGGTATGAAATGACTCTCTGATGATCCTTCTGACCATTCAATGTAGATTCCCCCCAAAGTCATCTTTGACAGCATCAGTTGCTGAGACACCTGTGTACACTCGGTCGCACTTGTGCCTGGGTAGTTTTTACCCTGGCGGTCAGGAGTAGTCATCTTCAAAGACTGTGGAGAGACTTTCTGCTTTCCATCAGAGTTCTTGTAGTTTCTTGGTCTGGAGAGGGTGAGCTTGGCACGTGTGTAATGGGACTGGGGATTCTTCCAATTTGATCTCCATTTCAGAGCTGGAGTGGAGACATTTGTGTAGGCTTGCTTGTCTTAATGGCTTGCTCAAGCTTTTTGAACCGCTTCATGGGATAGTCAGCATTCTTAAAATTTTTTCAAGCTGAATAATGGTCTTCAGGTCACACCCGAAGCTGCTGTCAGGCATTGTTCCCCATACTGAAATAACATTCAAGGACTAAAAGAACTGTGTCCAACATGTGCACTTTGAAAGATGGCTGGATTCACTTCCTTGTTGGAACGCAAGTTGGCACGGGTTAAAGGCCACACCTCTTAATGTGTGGGATATGGTTTATGTTGGGCGTTTCTATCAAATGCAGGTTGACCTTGCTTGGCTTAAGTGAAAAGACTCTATTTTTAAAATGATTTTTTTAAACCCCACTATCTATCAATTTCAGAAAACATGTCCAGAGACAAAAAAATGACACAAAAAGTTAGTTTAACACCAAAAAATATGGGTACGAAATCTAAATATCAACTTAATTGTTATTATACGGACTTAATCTTTAAATACAGTATTTAATAACAAAAGGCCAAGTGAAAAGGATTTTGTCCCTCAAATTTTGGTTCACCAAAGAAGGCAGTTTTACATCAAACTGCCTCCTTCCTTATTTCAAATATGTTCTTCATTTCCTTTTGGAAAAATGATACATCTAAAGCTTATATAAAAATTATATCCCCTAAAATATAAAATTATATCCCCTAAAATATAAAAAAAAATAATTTTCCATATCTAATCCCGATTATGTTCAGGACCAGGGCAGAGCCAATATTCTGAGTTCATGTTCAGGACCATGGCTCATTGAGTTTAAGTTAATAAGAAAAAGAAAAAATTTGTTTTTCATTCAATGATCAAGAATTAAAGAGAAACACTGTGACAAAGTACGGAGCACCTTTGCCACAACTTACCACTAAGATATTCAATCCACGACTGTACTGTCTCCGGTGGTTGCGTTTCCTTGATGTGTCGAAGAGCTTCATCAAGCAAAACATCTCCTGTGGGCTGATCATTTTTGCATATGACTTTTCTGTTTGCAAGACTTCGCCTCCTCATACCGGCTTTCTCCAGTTCAACTCTACCTCTCAGAGACAGCTCTATAAGGATGCATCCCCGCAAGCCAGACGATATGCAGTCATTCCAAAATGATGTGTAACCCTGAGAAAAAAAAGTACTTGGTTACTAGTACGATTCTTAACAAGACTTTTACTTTTACCAATGTACTTTATTAGTAGCAATAATACAGCTTCGCAGAACAAGGCAATTGCACTACATAAAACTTAATGCCATAAGGTATTCTAACAAAAGTAATTCCCCCAATGAAGTTTTATTCCACCTGGGTTTTTTTTCAATACTTATCCATTATCTCAAAAGCCATTTCCTACTTTAAGAAAGCATTTCATTTTGATGGTACAATTTCTTCACATGGTACAGGCAAGAATATTTATATGATGAATGAGGAAAACAAGAAACTACGCGTCTTGTCAGTAATAATCTAAACTCCTAAGAGAGTTAAGCCAGTGGTCTATTTTCTTTTAACTTAGCCGAGCTTGCCATTGGGAAAATACGGTGGGAGAAACGAAGTGCAAACCTAGCTGGTCTCAACCGAAGTGCATACTGGAGGCCCATTTTTACCAGCCTGTTTTGGCTGATGTTGAACACATCAGTGTACTTTCTTTTCCGCCGGATCGAACAAAAGAGGATTAAAACAGCAATGGGCAAGGAAAGCTAAAATTTCAATAGGCTATTGACACAAGCTTCAATCTAGCAAAAAAGTACAAATTTGTGAACTTGGTCTTTTAAATTGCTCTCACACTTCCAACTGGCATTTCTTTTATAAGTAGCATGCAGTAAACTGTAGGGCAGCCAGCAGGGTTGGGTTGATTTAAATCAGTTGATTTTTTTAATTTAAATCAACTTCATTTTAAAAATAAAAATCAGTGATTTAAATCACTTTTTAAAATATTTATTTTTATTCAGTTTTTACACATTTCAACATTTAGAATTCCTTTCCTTGGTTTCATAAAACAGATATAAGGTTTAGTAGACTAATATATTCATGCTTAAAAGTCTGCTCCCCCCCCCCCCCCCCTTTCACTGTAAAATAATACAGATTCAAATTACTTTTTTTTCCATAATTGAAATCAGAGCTGGGTTGATTTAAATCATTTGATTTTTAAAATTTTAATCAACTTGATTTTTTAAATAAAAATCAGTGATTTAAATCACTTTTCAAAAAAATGTATTCAGTTTTTACATATATTTAAACATTCAGAATTCCTTTCCTTGGTTTTATTAAACAATATAAGGTTTAGTAGACTAATATAATCATGCTTAAAATTCTGCTTCCCCCCTGTCACTAAAATAATACAGTTCTCAATTTACTTTTTTTTCATAATTGAAAACCAGGGTTGGGTTGATTTAAATCAGGTCGATTTATATCAGTTGATTTTTTCAAATTTAAATCACCTTGATTTTAAAAATAAAACTCAGTGATTTAAAGAAATCACTTTTTAAAAAAGTATTGTTTTTACATCTTTAAACATTCAGAATTCCTTTCCTTGGTTTTATAAAACAGGTGATATAAGGTTTAGTAGACTAAAATAATCATGCTTAAAAGTCTGCTTTCCCCCGTCACTGTAAGTAGTTGTAGATCTATTCAATTTACTCTTTTTCATAATTGAAATTAGCATTTTCTTTTTCTTTTAAGACAAACACAAGCGCGCGCGCACACACACACACTGTTATAAAAATGAAAAGTTTATCTACCCATAATTACCCCCCCCCCCCCTCCCCTTCCTTTTAGACTGACATTATCTTCATTTTTTGTCTGTAGCCATAATTCACTGATATAGATCTAGCAGATTAAGGGTTTCTAAAATTGCAGTTGCTTAAATTAATCATTAGTTAAAATAAAGATAATGCATTTTGCACTAAAAGAACTTACTTTTAGCCACCAAAAGTCCCAAACTGTGTCGACATTTTTTTTTAATCCAAAAAATCCGATTTAAATTTTAAAAATCTTGATTTAAATTTTAAAAATCGATTTTTTAACTTTTGATTTAAAAAATAAATAAAATCACCAACCCTGGCAGCCAGTACAAAACAAAGAGATCGACACCCTTTGACAAAAGTTGAGAACATACAAGGCTTACAGCCTACATTTCTCAAAAAATACTTCTAACAAAAAAAAAAGGCCAAGATCAAAATGAAGGATGTGTAGAACTCCATAGGAAAAGCCTGAAGCAGTGTAGAAGACGACCTATACTTGAAGGGCTGATCGTATCTTTGTAGGCTGGGAAAGAACAGAAATTGTCAAACTGCTAGGTATCTAACCCAAAAATAGCAGATTTCTGCTGAAAATTGACTCACTCTATGCAAAAAGTGTAAAGCAGAGATGTAAATACAGAAGTCAACATCAACAACGGAAAGTCTGATAATTTCTGCCTACTCGAGTTCTATTCTAGGTCTTGACTTTAGAGCTAAATGACTGAACTGAATGAATGGACAGTCACCTAATCAGGCATGAATACCTCACTTTTCAGAATCGACAACGGGAGGAATTCCGTAATGAGCGACCACAATGAAACAGAGAGGAGTTAGGGTTCGGTGTAAGGTCTCTTCTTTATATTGTGTTTGTGGCTGAGTTGGTCGCTCTTTACGAAAGTCCTGCCTCGACAAAATGCATCTAAATTCTAGATCTAGATTCTATCATGCATGTACAGTGGAATCCTGTTATAAAGATGGGAGGGGGGACTGGAGCAAAATGTCTGTTTATAGCAGGAAACTCATTATAGGGATCCAGTATTATAAATTCAAAGGAAATATTGAAGTAGGCCTAATCTTTGAGTTGGGTATTGTTTATTTCTTTTTGTTATCTCCCCTGATGATGATTTTGTTCAACATGACCTCTTCGTCTTATTTGATTAAAAAATCGAATCAGATTTCTTTCTCAGTGCCAGACTCTAGGGATGTTGACAGCTCGGTGTTGGCGATCAGAAAGAAAGTTCTCTAGGCTGACTCACCCTCTGTGTTGTCCCCCGCCCCACCCTGTGGTGCGTTCCCTCTGCTTGCACCGATCACACATGATATTCGCTCCAACAATCACAGCATTGTGACTGATTGCACTATATAGCAGTAGGCTAGTTTATTTACAAAGATAAAGAAAGAAAAAACGGGGATTTAGAATATGCCTAGTGTGGAACAGACTTCTCGTTATTTCAGGACTCGTTAAAATGGACTCCATTGTGTATAGAAATAGAGCCTCATTACTCTTCAAGTCCTTTAACACTTGAAAAATACAGATAGATCTAGACATTTGGTCTGGACCGGACTATAATTCCCTCTACAGGAGGTCATTTACAAGTCATTTACATCAAAGTAGCGTAGTCTGTTGTAGCCGGTAGCTTCCTAGATCTAGATGATTTTTTAAAGTCATTAACTCTTGTCCTACGTCTGTGCTGAGAAGCGAATTTTATCAGCAACCAATTACGACAGACGTTCCAGGCAGGCCGCCGGGGTCACTCAGTGTGTACTGTGGTTGTGCAGCGCGCGCACCGGGAAACGTGTTTTTCGCCATGAATACCATGTGAGTATGTTAATCGATGATGAAAATAACGCTCAATCTTTCATAGATAGCTTTCTATTTTATAAAATGTTACAAAACACATGAATAACCCCCTTTCACAAGCTGATTATAAGACATTACAAGTAGTTACGCCCATTCGAATAACCTTTCTTGACGCTCTTGTGGCTGGGGGTTCGAAAGGGGATTTATATATAAGTGAATTTCTGAGTGTTCTGTCCTCAAATTGTTTTTTGTACTTTTGCACTATGGTATTCAAAATTATCAAACAGGCTTATATTTTTTATCAGTCTAGATCTAGATTTAGTTTCATTTCATACAAAATCAAGTTCATTTGAAAGATTTTGTATAGAAAAATGGAAGTCTTGTTTCCCGACTATCCTTTCGAGCTAATCATGTCTAAGAGGGTCAATTTGCTCTATAATTTTAGGTAGCGTCAATTGCCACCGAGTGACACGGTGGGAATTGACAAAAATTGACAGCAGTGTCAATTGCCTCCGAGTAAATTGGAGCTCTTTTCCGTTGGTGAGCAGATCTAGCCTCTTGTGCTCGAGTGCTTGGTGGTGTTGTGCGCTCGCCTCTCTGTCCCTCTGTGTGTGTGTGTGTTTTTCCTGACCCCCGTCCTCCGGATTTATGTTCCCTGATATAAATTGAATTTCTGCTTGAGTTTGTGTGCGTTTGTGACCTTCTACTTCTAGAATTGCCTGTGTTGGTTCTACACCGAAGTGTAGGCTAAGGCTAGCCTAGATCTAGAATCTAGGCCTCCGTCTCATTGAAAACACGCCAAGTTGGTACCATAGCTCTAGACTAGATGCTCGCCTAATGAAATTAGTAGGGAACAAGTTGACCCATTAGACACACATTATGAATAGAAAGCTAAAGATAGTGTTGTTTTCAGACTTGACACCGCTTCACTCGAGAGGCAATTGATGCTGGTGCTGTCAATTTTTGTCAAATGCCACCACTTCACTCGGTCACTACCATAAATTTAGTGCACGAACACCTAGAGCCTAGAGCTACCAACTTGGCGTGTTTTGAATGAGACGTATGCCTCGGTTACGAACCAATGCAGGCGGTTCTATAAGAAGGCCATAAACGAACACAAACTCAAGCAGACTGACGCACACACACTTGAGCTGCGTGAATGGGGTTCCGACGTGGGACCCGAATTGAACGAGAGATGATGCTTGGTGCGCATGCGCTGAGCGAGGGGCCAGACAGGCGCGGGACCAGAACACAGGCAAGGTGCCTAAATACGCTTATCGGGCGACATAAATCCAGCCCTCGCAGGACGAGGGTTAAAAAGTGAGTTGCCTGACTGGGGTTGGGGAAGATCAACTAAAAAGAAACAAAATTTTGTTCTCAAGGCCCAAGCTCTGATTATCAACCTTCTCCTCCTCCCTCTTTCTTTTTGCTTAAAGTGGCTATCCCCATTCACTTCAGATAGCGAGCACTCAGCGGTAATCACCTCTCTGTCTTTCAGTCCAAGCAGCAAAACTTCTTCCATCAGAGTGAGCCTCGTTTCTTTGGAGTCAAGATCCTCCTCGGGTTCTCCATTCAGTTTCTCTTCCTTTTCATCTGCCGCCCCTTCAGCATTGTTCGAAACGGCAGTAGTACGTCGCTGGATCAGCCCACCTGAACGTGGATATGCACCTGACATAGCGGACAATAAGTATGGTCTCTGTAACAGTTGAAACAGTGTCTTCAAGGTAACACCACCAGTAGTTTCGATGTAAATATTAGGGTGATCCCTCTCGGAACACCCAAGATGGCGGCCTAATATTTATACGTCAAATGAAACGAGAGTGTACGAGACAGTATTCCCGCAGCCAAGACCATAATATTGACCTGAAAGCGTTAAATCTTTTCTTCGTTTAAAGAATTAGAATATGCAATTTTTGAAAGTTAAGAAGGATAAAAGAACCATGTGAGATACTAACATTCAGAAATATTTTTTATAAATTTATTCAGCCCCTGTTTAAATTACGTTGTCAAGGAAAACAACCTAGTCCTGTACATAGAATTTCCGGTCGCTAGTATCTGATGTTTCAACTGCCCCATCTCCTCAACAGTTGAAGAACGCGGAAATTCTGTCCGACCATAGATCTAGTTACAATGGCAGCTCACGTTCGGACTTATAATCCATCAGTTCGTGTAGGCAATTGGAATGAAGACATCCAGCTGGAAGAGGTAAATATATAGCATTATTATTGAAAACCCTTCAAGCCCAAGCATCCCGTGTTCAAGAACAAACGCACCTGGATTGCTCAGAGAGAAATAGCGATTACAGCTTAGCTCATGGAACACCTTCATTAATGCCATGTTCTCACCAAATGCAGACTTTGACAGACGCAGTTAAACTGAAGTAGAAAAGAATACTTTTCATCTCTGTTTATCACTGTAAAAACTGACCTGTTATTAGTGTTATAAGAAGCATTTTCACACCTCGAACCAAATGTAAAATATAGATGTATGCTGTGTCGAAGTTTTGCCTCTCAAAAAATAATATTTTGATACATGAGACGCAATGTCCAAAGTCACCCCTTTTCGGCCGAAGTTTTTCTCACATTTGTCCGATGTCTCCCACAGAGTGGGGTGATTTCAGACATCTTAAACTTAAGGTATCTCAGATGTGATACCTACTTACTTTGTTGGAGAATAGGCATCATTGCAGGCGGCATAATGTCATAGTTGCTCCTCCCTCATCTCCAGCATCTATGAAAGGGTCTGGTTGTTGATCATGCCAGTTATCAGCTGGTTGGATAATCTTCTGGTTTTCCCTCGCAGGTTGTGTATGATGAGGTGCCTTCATATTCTCTATGGTCATTGAACTGTGCTGTCAATGCAGCCATGACTGTTGGTGGATCTATTGCATGGTGTTGCCAATCTCAGTCTGGCCCGCTAGCTTATCAGCACATTCATTGCCTTGAACTCAAGCATGACCATGGCTAAAGATCCGTACAATCCTTGTGAGTCTGCTGCTTTACGTATTACCTTTCGCCAGTCTGCATACATCATGTGTTTCTTCTCTTTTTTGAGGGTACTCATCACGTCGATGACGAGGATGGCAGACTAATACTCTGTCATCTTAATCCAGTTAAGGGCTTCTGTAATGGCTTTCATCTCCATGCACATGTTGGACGTGGTTATACTTATGGCACCTGACGACAGCTTTCTCCATATGACCCCTTTTACACAGGGGCTGAAAACCCATCCATATTTGACTCCTCGCTGTACTGATCCGTCTGTGAAGATGACTACATCACCCTGTTCACTGTTCTCCTCTATCAGCCTCTCTGCTTCGGCTTTGGTTACTCCCTCTGGCCACTCACGACATTCTCTACCTTAGGTTGCTACCACTCCAGTATACTGCCCAAGTGTGTCAGTGACGCTGACCCATGCGCTGCCCCTTCGGATGTCTTGTACTTCACAGCATTTAGTCAAAGTTGTCGCTGCCTCATTCATCCATTCTATCCCTCTAAGCAGACATCTGCGTACAGTTCTTCCCACTTTGTCATGCAGTGGATGCTGACCATCGGTGCTGACTCTCAAATACACTTTCACCTGAGCAATCTTGTGACATTCTACCATGGCTGGGAGGTCCAGGAAATTACGCATAGTCTCACAGGATGTGTCTCGTGTACACCCAAGAACAGTCCACAAACCTTCATTCTGAATTCTTTCACTGCATTTCAGCTGTGACGTTGACATGGTGAAGAGACCAAGGCCATAGTCTATCATAGACGGCACAAGAGTCTGGTATAGTATGGCTAAAATTCTCTGTGGCATTCTGCTACACGCCATGCTCTTGTGATAATCCTGATTATCAATCTTGTGACATTCTACCATGGCTGGGAGGTCCAGGAAATTACGCATAGTCTCACAGGATGTGTCTCGTGTACACCCAAGAACAGTCCACAAACCTTCATTCTGAATTCTTTCACTGCATTTCAGCTGTGACGTTGACATGGTGAAGAGACCAAGGCCATAGTCTATCATAGACGGCACAAGAGTCTGGTATAGTATGGCTAAAATTCTCTGTGGCATTCTGCTACACGCCATGCTCTTGTGATAATCCTGATTATGTGATCTTTATCTGGGAGTGATCTGTCAATGGTGATAACTAGTTACCTCAGTGAGTGCTCACGCTTCAGGACCCTGTCATTGATGGTGACTGTGGGCATCTGTTCTTTCACTTCGTGATTATTCAGCGAGCACAACAGCACACAGGCTTTGTCTGGGTGGAGTTTGCCATTTTGGTCTACACACCATTGCCCAATTCGATCCAGCTCTTGTTGCACCACGTTAGTTGTTTCTTGCCGGTCCTTACCCTGTCTGTATACAAGGACATCATCCGCAAAGCTCAACACACGCCCTGGGCCTTCCAATTGTCTAGAAGTGATTCTAACTGTGCATATGTTGAATAACATTGGTGAGAGTGATGATCCATGTGACAACCCTGGTGTGATGCTTCTAGTGTCAGATGTCCTGTTTCCCAGTCGCATTGCAACTCTCCTCTTCAGCAATGCCTCACCTATCCATATCACGAGCTGGGGGCTACTCTTCAGGTTGATAATTGTTTTCAAAGGGACATCATTCTCAACCCTATTGTTGGCATTCTCGAGGTCAAGTGCTGCTATCGGAGTCTCCTCGCCTCTTTCAAACCCATCATAAATATTCAAATATGATATGATACTCTTGTAGTAAAACGTGACAATGCACTATGTTGATATCACAAGTGGTGATGCCCAAATAGCTTACAATAATGGTGAAACCTTTTTCTTAGGCTTAAAATGTTCCTAAAGCAAGCAGTGGAGTCAAATATAAAACGTATCTGAAGGCTTCCCGCTCTCCCCTACTGTTTTATTTGTATGTTTTATTGATTTAACTTTTTAAGTGATGAAAATGTAGGCTATTCAAGGCTGACCTCCTTTCACAAATGACAAATGGCTGAAGGGGCTCTCATGGCCTAGAAGTTAAGGTGTTCACCTCTCATTCAAAGGTCCCAGATTCGAATCCAGATAGCGATGGAAAAACTTTCTTTTCTAAAATTGTCTCTTTCACCTCCTTTCCTTCTCTCTAGCAATGTTCTGTCGTCTGCTTCCGTCTCCATTTTCTGCCCCCATCCCTTCACCTCCTTTGCCCCCTCCTCTGGGTTCCTGACTCTTTCTGTCGGCTTTCTACTGCTACTCCTTTGCTCCTTCTTACTTCTGTCTTTCTGCCACTCCCCTGATCTTCTGGTTGGAAAGATCTACCCCTAGCCTTCTCAGACAAGGGCAAAAAGTCTCGGAAGTCGTGTGTGCAAGTTGCGCACGTTAAAAATCCCTTGGTGGTTTGAAATAGATAAGAGTAAGCTCGGCCGCCACGCGAGCAAAATTCAAATTTTCCTACTAACTGAAAAGGTTTGACATGTCCTGCGCGCTCATATGACCATATGAAGTTGCGAGCGCCGTAAAACACTTACCCCACCCCCCCAAAAAAAAATGACTGATGGGTTTTCTGGCGTTCTACCCCTTTGTCTTTAAATGTAGGCCGAATGAATTAATCATGACAATATGTCAAATCATGGGGAAGGACAAGGAAAGATTATTTGTCTTAAACACAAGTCTCCAAGCCCATGATCTTTGACTGATTAAAATTATCAAAATTTACATTATTTTTTTGTTGCTGAAATGTAATTACTCCTCTGTCATTTAAAACATGCAACTCTCAACAGAAATTGTGTCATGAAGTGGTGGATATGATATAAATTTTCTTTGATTCAGACCCAGGAGAGGATTGTAGTGACAATTTTGATGCTCTTTTTTACTGATATTATAAGCAACATTTTATGTCAACCTGACCAATGTACACCCTGGTTGGATTTACATTGAATGCTGATTTTTGTAGAGATGAGACAAAAAGAAATGGCATAAAGATTAATTCAATAGTTTTCCTTTAATTATAATTTTTCTAAGTCGATCAAATTCCATATATATGTATCTATATCTATCTATCTATCTATCTATCTATATATATATATATATATATATATATATATATATATATATATGCAGCCAAAACAATACTGTCTTGTGTGGAAAGGAATTCTCAGACTGTAGCACTCGGCAATGGATGTGTCCTTTGTGTGCACTTATCTGTATTTTAAAAAAAAATATATTTCTCTAATCAGGACACCTTGAAAGATTTCTTGGAAAGGAGGGCTAATGGACAACTTCTCATCCAGCGCTCAAGTGGCATGATGGGGAAGATGAGTAATCCAGTAAGTATCTTAAAATCAATTACATACCAGTGTGGAGGACACTATTTTTAATTTGAGACTAAATTTTCTTGCATTAAAGGCAAAGAATATGGGTAAAAATTTTAAGGCAAAGAATATGGTTAAAATTTGAGGCTCGTCTTAGTAAAAATGTAACTGAGGTCTAGAAGAATGTTTTCACCTGTCTTCCAATCTACAAAGGCTGTTAAAAAATTGAAGTTAAAAGTGGTCATAATTGGTATGGTGGTTCTTGAATGTGTATCAGAGTCTGTTGAAATTGTGAGGGGAAGGTGGTGACTTATTATGAAGGCTTGACTTGATAAAAATTAATTTTGACTTAGTAGAGCATTTGATTACAGGTGATGTGACCTGGATACATCACACTAGTCCAGATACTAAGGGACATATAAACATTCATCATCACTGCCTGATAAAAATTTTAAAATTATTCAGATTAGAAGAAAATGTTGGCTTCTTTGTCTTTGGATGCCAAATGATTTCTGCTTTCCAATATTCTACCACCTGGGTAGACGGTTAATGCTATGAGGTATTGTGAAACACTTAATAAGATGTAGGAAACTGTACACCAAAAGAGGTCTGGACATCTGAGCGAGAGTTTTATACTCAAACACAATGACTCCACTCCATTCATAGTGATTTTGACTAGACAGGATCTGTAGACACCTCTAGAAGGAATTGATTAACCCTCCACATAGTCCTGACCTTTCACCATCAAATTTTCGTCTGTAAAAAGCAAGAATTATAGTTGAAAAGACGTTCATAGAGATTGGCTGCATTCTCTTGACAAGAATGTGTTCAAGGAGGGGATTATATGTTCCTCATTATTTCTTGAAAATATTGTATAGATCTTTAAATGGACTATGTTAAAAAGTTACTAAATGTCTACTCAATTTTGAAGCTTTATATAGAAACATAAACATTCTTCATGATATTTTTTACTGAGACAAATTTTTTTTTTCTTCATTCATCGTCAGTAAATTGGACTTCTTGATGTATGGTTAGTAGCTGACTCTGTGTATTTCATAGTCAATGGTTATTTTTTAAAATCAAAAACCTTATAATGTCAGTAATTTGTTATTGTTATTGTATAGTTTTAATAACCCCTTTCAATACGGTAAGGTTATTTAAGAAGTGGGACCTCCGAATGTATAACCTCTATATCTGATATGACCAAGTGAAATGGGTGGAGTACATTAGAAACTCCTCAAAACAACTCTGGTCCAGAACACCCTGCGAAAAATTCAAACAAAAGCCATCCTCTCCATTGTCCAACATGATATCAACTGAACTAGCGGTGTGTCCTTTAAGTCTGGGACACTGTTATGAAAAGATTAACTCTATGATGTTTAACCTTTTTGGGATCCTTTTGTGAACCTTGCTACTGAAGTTTCCTGATATTTGTTCTCCTTTCAAAAAATCAAATTATTGTTTCTCTTATCTTAGGTTCAGCTCAGCACCTCATCTGATGGGTGTGTCCGTTTTGGTGACACTATTATGGTTGTTAACAAAGGTACGTAATTCTTAACCATTTTTTTGTTCTACTGGGTAGGGATACCTTAACTGCAGGAAGGAAAATGGCAAAATATGCAGTGATACAGGAAACTGCATGTACAGAAGTGGATTAGAAATTATGAGTGTTAAGTTAAGCTGCTGAAATTAAATAGTGCTAATATAAAATGCAGGACGATCTTGGTACCTGGAGCACAAATACAAGCATTTCACATCATGATCTGCTGTTTGTCAATGTTCAAAGACTAATGCTCTCGTACTTTCTTTTGTGCTAGCAAATGGAATCTTTTAAACCTGTTTTCATTTGAATCCAGCATCAGAATTTCCATGAACTTGTTGGTTG